CAAACCAACGACTACCATTCGACTACTAATCAACAAGAAATACCATGATCAGAACGAGTTTGGAAGAATGAAGGAGACCGAGTAACTCACGCCACACCATTCAGGGCCGAGTTTCACCGCCATGTCATTCGACCCGACCAGATCTAACGAAGAATCAACAACCAAACCAACAACACCGAATCATCCAATTTGATCCAATCCAACTACCAACTACCACGACTACCAACAACTACCTAGTTTGCGATATCAGCATCCGCTGGAAGCGAACGTTAACTTGCCATCTACCAACCAACTCTAGTCGGTAAAATGGAAAGCCCAAAAGCTGATGCTCGTACTATGGCGGAAGTGTTTAAGAGTACTCCAACTCCAAAAACCTTCCCAAAAGCCACGCCAGACAAGCCCTATGATCATGTAGTTCTTGTCAGACCCGGGAGGGTCTTACATTCAAAGGATGTTGACTGTTAGACACCGCACTGTCCACATCACGTTAGTACTCCAAATTCAACAAGATATCTCTATTGTAGCGGAGGTAAGGGCTGGACATTTTATGTTCCGACGGCCCGCTAAGTCCTTCTAGGAAATAAAACCTTGAGTTGGAGATATCTTGAAGAATAGATCTAACAAATTTGATAACTTTTGGAAGTGTATCGATTAAGTCCACTCCGATGTGAGTGGATTTATATGGAGAATTATTTATCTTCATATAGAAATGCAAATGGCTGCCGGATATTGTATTATTACGGCAGTCATATATACATTATAAATCTTGTCATTTCCAGTCTATCAGTCATCTGAGCCCCTTGAATATTTATATTCCTAAAAATCCATTTTTTATATTCATAATCCTCTCATAGGAAAAACTTGTCAATCTATTATGATCTGAAAATTTTTCAGATATTTGAAGTTCCCCAAATCTTCTATTATTTCAAATATTCAAAAATTCTGAAGGACTCAGGTTTTCAAAAACCTAGAAATCTCTGAATTTTCCAGATTTTCGAAGTTCAAAAAGTCTAAAAAGCTCAAAAATTTCAAAAAATCTCAAATTTTTCAAAAATTGTAAATTTTTCAAAAATTGTAAATTCTTCAAAAATTGTATATTTTTCAAAAATTTCCAAAATCTCAATTTTTTCAAAAATCTCAAATTTTTCAAAAATTTCAAAAATTTCAAAAAATCTCAATTTTTTCAAAAATCTCAAATTTTTCAAAAATTTCAAAAATTTCCAAAATCTCAATTTTTTCAAAAATCTCAAATTTTTCAAAAACTTCAAAAATTTTAAAAATCTCAAACTTCTCAGAAATCCCAGATTTTTGGAAACTTCTCCAAAAACTTAAAATCCTCTAAATAAGTCATGGTTTGTGTGAAAATTCGTTTAATTTAGAATTTTCTAGCCTTTTAAGACATATTGCACATTGCACCATGTATATTCATATACACAAATAAAAAAGTATAAAAAAAAAAAAAAAAATATATATATATATCTTTTCACCCATTATTATTATCTTCATAAATATAAATTTCTGTCAAGCCATCATAATTCTGATATACCATCATGCCTATTGACAGGTCATGTAGCCTTTTACTCAAACCAACAACCGATTTTGAGATAAGGTCTCAGGATTTACTAGATGCATTGTAGGTAGCGGAAGCCCCGATGCATCTAGTAAGGGGTTTTCAAAACATAGGGAGAACTAAATTTATAGTTTCTCTAGAAAAGCCAGCAGATGTTAACATCTTTATCGACTGGTTTGGCAACGGTACTCAGATAGTTCCCGCAGTCAAATTTACCATTACACGAGCCAACCAGGTCGAGGAATTAAATCGAAAACCCGACATAAAAATTACTATCTATGGGGCCCCGTATGAGCTAGACCCCAAATATATCTTGTCGAAGATAAATACATATTGCACCTTGGCAAAAATTAAAAGATGTACCTGGAGAGGCTACCCTAATATGTACAATGGGGTACATTTAATCTTTACTCCAGAGATAAAGAAGCCTATACCAAATAATCTAATAATCAATGGTATCAGGATTACGGTCAAGTATGATGACCAACCCCAGCCAGCCCGGAGATGCTTCTGCTGTGGCGGAGAAAACCACCTAGCAGCTATGTGCCCTACCAATGCTGCCCCTGGCCCCCGCCCACAGACTATTAATAATAAGTCCCTATACAATGCGGTAGCGAGTTCGCTTCCAGGGCCGAGTTTCACCGCCATGTCATTCGACCCGACCAGATCTAACGAAGAATCAACAACAAACCAACAACACCGAATCATCCAATTTGATCCAATCCAACTACCAACTACTACGACTACCAACAACTACCTAGTTTGCGATATCAGCATCCGCTGGAAGCGAACGTTAACTTGTCATCTACCTACCTACCTACAGTGCGGTAGCGAGTTCGCTTCCAGAACTGATATGTTTCAAGTGTGGAGACGCTGGACATGCCCCAAACCTATGCCCGAACCATGGCCTCAAACTCCCAATATGGCCCTCAACGAACAGTATCGATCCGGTACCATCTTTTGATAATACCGCAATCGATATTGTTGGGGACATGGAATTGTCAGATTCGGACATACCAAACCAGCAAAATGATACCTCCGTTGAGCGGACAAAACAAATGCCATGCTGGAACAGGCTCATGCCTTGATGAGTGTCATCAAAGGCATTCGGAAAACATCTACCCCTATTCCCCCACCCACCCCCCTTCCTGTCCCTCCGACTAAGGGAAACGACACCATTCTTGATGAGTGGCAAGAAATTCAGGAACACGATTATGATAGAAGTCGGAGAGAGAAAGAGAAAGAAAAAGAAAAATTGAATAAAGACAAAAGTAAAAAAGCCAGTTTTGAAACGAGCACCTCTAGTGATAAGAAACGCCGAGAAAAAACATCCAATCTCGAGACCAGTTATACTGGGAGTGGCCGTTTCAATATTGATAAGGGGAGTGGCGATTTCACCGAGTCTGATGCGAGTTTCACCATGGTCAAACGAGCATCAAAGTCGGTAAAAAAGCCCAGCACACCTAAACCCCCTACCAAAGAAACAGAAATTGCAAAAAATATAATATAATATAATATAAACCCCTGAAAATGATACTCAAAAACAAATGGAATCCTTAAAAAGAGGGCCAAATTTATCGGAAGAAAAATCCGAGAAGAAAAAAAGAAAAGATCTACAAGAAAGCTACCAATCCACCACATAAATCAGCGATACATTTATAACTTACATATAACATAATAATAATTAAAAAAAAAAGTACTTCTATAACTCATTTATTCATATATCCATAAACAAAAACGTACATATAAACACTAACATGATTTTTTCGTCCTTAAACATACATAGAGGCTTCATAGGCAAATTACACCAAATATTAACAGACTTTAAATACTCGGATATCATTTGTCTACAGGAAACTGGGATAATCTCGGACCAAGATATTCTTGATCTTGAGGCTATCTCAGACTACACCCTGGTTAGATCCAATGGACCCAGTGCCATCTGCAGAGGTGCTGCCATTCTATACAAAAAGTCCATTAGACCCATCCAAAACTTCAATTAATAGGTCGATTCCTACATATCAAATTTACCATACAAAAAAATATATTCCATGTTATAAATGTTTACGGCCCAAGGGAGTATGAATTAAAAGGCGCCTTTTTTAGTCAAATTCATACTCACCTGCATCAATTTTTCAATATCGCTGATAGCTATATTATCACTGGGGATTTTAATTTAATTGAAACGAAACAGGATTCAAAAACAGAGACCAGGAAAAACCAACCTGCACTTGCTCTCTCTAAACTCTCGGATATCAAGTCGGATTTTTTATTACAAGACAGCTTTCGCCACTTGTATCCGAGAACCAAGCTTTTCACATTTGTCAGGGGCGACACTGGAACCCGTATTGACCGTCTATACCTCTCCAAACATCACTTAAATTCCCTGAAAAAAATAGAACATAATAATAATTCATATTCCGACCATAAATCACTAACAGTTGAGTTGGGACTAGGGTCAAGCCGCTGGGGTAAAGGCAAGTGGAAACTTAACACCACACTACTTGACGAGCCCCAGTACATCTCACTCATTACAGAATTTTGGTGCTTTTGGCAGCTGCAAAAGCCAGATTATCCTGACCAGCTTGTTTGGTGGGAAACGGGAAAGGGCCACATCAAGGATATCTCAATACAGTATAGTCGATGTCGATCTAAAAAACTCAGTGATAAACTCCTGCAGCTAGAGAACCAAAAGATCGACATCGAAAATACTCATGACCTAAATGACGATCACTTTGGCAATATCCACCGCGGACTGATCGATGAAATTAAGTTGTTACGAAATACCATGAACAAAGGGACGTTAATTCGATCAAATTCGATTCTTAAAGCAGTACAATCATTCTATACAACCCTTTACACATCTGACTTCATCGCCAGGGAAGTAATAACGGACTACATCGATCAGTCCGAGGTCAATAGTCTACCGCCAGCAGAACAAATAAAAATCAATAATATTCTTATAACCAAATCAGAACTCCTTACAGCATTGAATGGGTTTCAAAACAACAAATCCCCGGGGATTGATGGAATTCCCAGGGAATTCTACTCCAAGTTTTGGCCCATTCTGCAGGACGATCTTCATGATACCATCAACAATATCTACTTTAGACAAGAACTATCCGACAGCATGAAGACGTCCATATTAACCATCAACTTCAAAAATAAAGGTTCAAAAACTGATTTAAAAAATTACAGACCCATATCTCTGCTGACGGTTGACTACAAGATCATTGCCAAGGTGATCGCCAATAGGCTAAACAAAGTGTTAAACCATATTTTGTTGGACACTCAATCGGGAGCAGGTCAAGGCAAATCCATTATCAATAACCTGCTCTCGATTGACAGTCTAATAAAATATGCGGATGAGAAACGAATTGATCTGGCTCTACTGGCATATGACCAGGAGAAGGCATTTGATAGAGTCAACAGATCCTATCTCATGCATCTCCTGGTCAAGATGCAGTTCCCACCGAACATCCTGAGATGGATAGAAATTCTTTATAAGGACCTGAGGGTGTGCTGTGAGGTTAGAGGGGCATTTACGGATAGTTTTACCCCAGAGCGCGGCGTGAAACAAGGCTGCCCCCTATCCATGGCCCTCTACTCTCTAGCTATACACCCTTTGGCCCTTACCATCATCAACAATCTCCATATCCACGGTATTAAACTACCGAAATACCCAAAACAGATCAAAACAGTCCAGCATGCTGACGATCTAACGGTCATTATAACTGACCCGACGTCATTTGCCCACCTTGATTCGGCCCTCAATCAATTTCAAATGGCAACAGGTTCCAAAATTAATAGCGAAAAAACCGAAATACTTACTCTTGGCCGAATGGCAACCCACATACCAAATCTGCTCACCAAATACATCAAACCTCAAATAAAACTTTTGGGAATATTTTTCGGCCCCAACAACCTAAAATTAAATTGGAATCCGATCGTGAATAACATCAAAAAATCGTTAATAAAATGGAAAAATCGCAGCCTAGTCTTTCGAGAAAAAGTCCACATTCTCAACACTTACACCCTCTCTCAGATTTGGTATGTGGGTCGACTTGTAAAACCCGATAAAAATATACTAAAAGAACTAAATTCTGTGATACATAATTTTCTCTGGGATGGCAAATATGAGGCCATTGCCAGAGAAACCTTAAAACTGCCATATAATCAAGGTGGGCAGAATGTCCCTGACGTTATGCTGAAACTGGACTGTTTTGATCTACAGCAAATAGCTTGGGCGGCCAGGGGAGTTAATTATCCCTGGGTTGCCCTCCTATTCTACTGGCTCGGTCCCGCTCTCAAGAATCTAAACCCTAGCAGAACCTATCCTGTCTCTACCCTAAATGTCCACTCTTCGTACAAAACCCTTTTGTCCCGATACCGTAAATTAAACATCAAAATTACAGCTAAATCCACTTCAAAAGAAATATACATTGAACTTATAAAAACCAGCAACATACAGAGCAAGATACAAAAATCAAACCAACATATTAACTTTAATCAAATCTTTGGCCATTTATTCGAATCCAAATTAAACCTCCGTCAACTCGACTTCATGTATCTTGCTCTACACCAGGCTCTGCCTACTAAGTTCTTTTTGAGAACCCGTAGCTCCACCAATTTCGACACCAAATGCAACTATTGCAGGATTGGTGGAGAGAGCCTGAGACATCTGTTCGTGGATTGTGGACATCTGGGTAGACTAAGGGATAGCTTCTGCTATTTTTTGAGAAATACCGTGGGTACGAATATTAGCATTGGGGAATTTACTCCATTTCTCTATAATATCGATAGCAGGCTGTATCCATATTTCTATCATTATTTTCACACTATCTGGGTTAATAGAACCAAACCAAAACCAATAGAGATAGATGATATGTTATACAGTCTGCTAGAAATTACCCAAATTTAAAAAAAAAAAAAAATAATAATATATATATATATACAAACATATACAAATATATAAAATGTGCAATAGTATCATATACTTACCTAGATACTTACTCGAATACTTACCTGAATACTTACCCGAATTCTTAATTGAATACTTACCCATAACTCTTTCACATCATAATATATTTTTAATCATCATTATAAATTTATATATATATATATATAAACTAGTGTCCAAAAGAAACGATACCACCTGTTTGGAACGACATAAAAGAAAAAATAAACAATGCAGAAGTTTAGGTGTAGTGTTATGCTTTTGAGAAATCCTTTCACAACATCTGTACACAAATTTCATTTCAATAAAAATCAATAAAATCTGTACAACCAATATGACAAGCCTTTAAAGATGGGTGGGGTCGAAAAAAGAACATTTCGTTAGAGCACTGATCACAGAAACAACGGGAAATGTCACACCACACGTCACAAAGTCAAGTCAGTAGCGGGTATGTCCACCGTGAGCATCAATACATGCCAGAACACGCCTACGGACTGATGCCGTCAAACGTATGATGACGTTGGGAGTGATGCGTTGCCATTCCTCGATGAGACATCGTTCCAAGTCCTGGACGTTGACTGGAGGCACACGGCGACGTCGGATTTGCCGATCGAGGTGGTCCCATAAGTGCTCGATGGGATTCATGTCCGGTGAACATGGGGCCATGGCAAAATCTGTACGTTGACGTTGGCAAGGAAGTTCTGTGTCAATCTTGCTGTGTGTGGCCTTGCATTGTCATGTTGGAAAAGGAGTCCACGAGGCTGTTGCTGAATAAAGGGCACCACAACAGGCCGTAGGATGTCACCAATATAACGCTGTGCATTCAGGTTTCCACGAATTACAAGCCTCGTTTTGACGTCACCACATATGCCACCCCAAACCATTAACCCTCCACCTTCAAACGGCCGGACCTGTTGGATACAGTTAGGCGCCAAACGTTCACCAAATCGTCGGTATACAAGCTGTCGTCCATCGTTTTTGAAGATGAGGAATCAGCTCTCATCAGA